TGGATGAGGCAAGTCTCTTCTCCTTTCTAAATCTTAGTTTTGTTACCTGTAAAAATGGAGAGGACCCCTGCCTTATCTACCATATATCATTACTGTAAAGATTGAAATTCGATGTGTCTGGTTTATAAGTAAAAACTATATTTTGGTAACCATAGTAACTTACAAATGTAAGCTATTAATGTTGTTGAAAATATTCCCAGATCTTTAAATATTAATATTTTGGAAAATGCCTCATTTTAGTAAAATAGGGTTTATAAATGTGTTATTTGTAATATTTTAATAGATTTGGATTAATCCAAGGAGTAGACTTGGAAAATCAAACATAAATATAATTAAATAGGTACCTTTAGCATGTTACAATTGTAAGTCTTATACAGTTCATCCTTACTTTAAAATTTTTTGAAATTACTTTTTAATATTTTCCTTTTACCTTAGTTTTTCTCTAAGAGGTTCAAATCTGCTGCCATGTTAGCTGTCTTTGCTGTGTCTGCTATAGTGCACGAATATGCCTTGGCTGTTAGCTTGAACTTTTTCTATCCAGTGCTCTTCGTGCTCTTCATGTTCTTTGGAAGTAAGTGTCTTGGCATACTGGGTATTATGCTAAAAGAGAATTAGAAAAGAAACTATAAAATCAATGTAGAAAAACTAGAGAGTTGTAATACCATTTCAAGTGTTTATCAGATGGTCAGAATATTGACTGAATAATTATACAGAACTCTTTGTCAAGATGTTTACACTTTGAAGTAGGGAAATGAATTAGGTAGCCTCTTGAAGACCANCTTTGTCAAGATGTTTACACTTTGAAGTAGGGAAATGAATTAGGTAGCCTCTTGAAGACCACAATAACACTGATTTGGTAGGTCATGAAAACTGTCTGTATAAACAACTTCCCCTTTCGTAAACACTGTCAGTGTGCACACCCTAGAAAACTTTTTTTTTTGAGTGGATGGAGAGGGACAAATTCCTGATCTGAATATTGTTGATTTCCTATTAGTTATTGATTAATAAATTTCAACACAGGAGCTTCATTTTTTTTTATATGACCAATGACCAGAATAAAACATGTATATGAACAGTTGATGCTCACTGTGATTATTAAGATGACAGCAGGTATTTCAGACCCCTCACCTCTTGGAAGATGATGTGTTGATAACTATATATTTTTTTGTTCTCTTCCTAACTTTAGTGGCTTTTAACTTCATTGTCAATGATAGCCGGAAAAGGCCAATTTGGAATGTTCTGATGTGGGCTTCCCTCTTCTTGGGTCATGGACTTGTTCTGTGCTTTTATTCTCAAGAATGGTATGCACGTCAGCACTGTCCTCTGAAAAATGTGAGTCACCAATCTGGCAGGAGTGCAAAACTAATGTTGGTTTCCTGATTGTGATGGTTGGTGGGGAATTATAAGAAGGAAAATAGTGGATTATGATGAATGACTGTTAAAAGGAAGGAAAGATGGAGTAAAAGCATTAGTTTATTATCTGATCTTTCTGTACAATCTTTGAAATTTTTCCTTTCTTTGGTTTTTTTCACATTGAACTATCCTAGTTCTTGGTTTTCATTTTTCTTTTTTTTCTCCCTCTTCCCCTTCTACTGCCTTTTCTTTAGCCCCTTCTAATTTTCTTCCCTTCTCCTGAAAATGTAGGTATTTCCTGGGGTTTTCCCAGTTGCATATATGTATGTCTCTACC